CGCTGTCCCCACGGGGCTGGGGGTGGGAGCTGACCGCTGGCGCCACTGCAGGTGCTGGGGCAGCGGGAGGGTTGAGTCCCCAGACCCGGCACAGAAGGTGTCCACCCTGTATTTGGGGATCCCGGGGCCCCCGCCCGTGCCGAGGGGAGCTTTCCCTCCACCTCCAGGACTGCCCAGGTGGTCAGGGGGTGTCCTCCCCCGCCTGCCCCCACCAGGCAGCCCGGGGGACCTCCACCTTCTCTGGTGCTTCCTGCTCCAGGGGACTTCAGGGGTCCAGCCGCCTCTGACACCAGCTCCAGGAAGGAGGACTCAGATGAGCTCACACCTTCCAAATGCAGCTGGGCAGGCGGCCGCCCGGGGCCCAGGCAGCTCCCTGTCGCCGCACTTTTGTAGCTCGCAGCCTGTGACTCAGGGCTGGCTGGTTTCCCGGGCTGGTTTCCTTTTCTTTTGCCATAAGTAAAATCAAGATGAGCTGAAGGCGTCTCTCAGGGGTCTTTGCACCGACTTGTCAGTGTTACAGATGAGGGCCCTGCAGCTGGGGCGGCACAGGCCTCTCCCAGAACAGCGCAGGCAGAGCCCCAGAGGGTCCGAAGCGAAGTCGGCGGAAGGAAGGGCTGTGCCTGGCATCCTGGGCAGAGGGCACCACTGGCCGTTGGCACCCCCTCCACCCACCCGGCCCTGCACTGCCCTTTCCTCCTCCTTCATCCCAGAAGCCCCTGAGGGAGGCAAGGCAGAGAAGAGAGGGGAGGCGGGCCCAACGGAAAACAGGAAAAGGGGAGGCAGATGGGAGAGCGGGTGTGAGCTCAGAGGAAGGGGGACAATGGGCCGGGAAGGGGGAGGAAGGGGGGCGCTGGGGGAGCATCTGGGCCAACTGCCCTCCTGGGCTCAGGCCTGGATCTCGCAGCCCCTGGTTTCTCGCCCTGTGGCCCGCCCCCATGCTCCCTCCATTGATTCCAGGGTCGGAGGCTCACGTGTCCCCATCATGGCTCCCAAGGCCACAGGAGGGGAAACTCACCTGAATGTCCCTCCTCAACTGAGAACGTCCCTGGGGAGCCCACGCTCTAGTATGAAAGTTACCCCCTTTAGAACTCTGCTCTTACGTTTTTAAATTTACTTTTCTTATTGTATAAGACACACTCAGAAGTGTGTTTATGATGGCGACGTGGAGTTCAAAGAATAATAAGGTAAAAACTGCACCAAATACAGCCCAGTCTCTTCGGGGTGCTCCAGCAGACTTGGGGACCAGGGTGTCGGGTGAGGAGGCAGCCCCTGGAGACACAGGCGATGGGAGGGAGTCTGCCACCCAAGGGCTGGTGACCAGGCCAGCGGCCATCCTGGGCCCTGGAGATGCCTGTGAACCACGGGGCCCAGGGGCCCCACCCCCAACATGGGGAGGGAGCCGGCGCTCAGCCGCTGGGAGCATCTGAGAGAGGCCTCAGGTGGCGAGCTGCCCTGAGTCGGCAGTGCCCAGGATTTGGGAGGGACCCCAGAGGTGTCTGCTGCCCGCCCAGCTTAAGAAGAGGGACAGTCTCACCCACCAGGGTACTCTCCCCATCATTGTTCACCATGGTTTTACCCCAAGTTCACGGAAGTCGTTTGGTTTCACTTTTTGAGCCTTAGAAAGATGTGTCCTGTATGTCTCTTACTAATCGTGTCCACATGGTTATCGAGGGAGTGTAATGGGAAGCTGGTCGGGGCTGAAGCAGCAAGTTGGCGGAGGGAGGCCGCGGAGACCAGCAAGGGCAGGGGGAGACGTGCTGAGGGGAGGTCGGGACCACGGTGGGGGCGGAGCGGTGGCTGTGACCACTGACTGACAGGCTCCCTGAGCAGGACATGGGACAAACCCTGGCTGCTCCCTCCTCTCACCTCCAGTCTCAGCCAGCACCTCCCCTGGGCTGAAACTCAAGGACACCAGTCGACAAGGGAGCCAGGAAGTGTGGTTTCAGAGCACAGAGTGGACGGGAGGGTGGGGATGGATCTGAGCGTGAGCGGGCCCTCGTCTGAGTTCACGTGCACGTCTGTGCAGTGTCCCTGCCTGAGGGACATTGGGCGGGTTCCAGTCTTCTCTCTGATGTGTGTCAGAGAGGTGCAGGTGTTTCTCTAGAGTGTTTTCCAAACTTTCTGACCACAGTATTTTCATTATGACCCAAGGCAAACACACAACTGAAACCAGTGCTTACGAAGCAATACTTACCCTCAGGGTGTATGATACCTGCTGGCGTTTTCTACTCTATTTATTATTATTATTATTGTTTTTACTATCATCATCATCACCATCATCGTCATCATCATCATCATCATCACCATCACCACCATCATCGCCATCATCATCACCATCATCACCATCATCACCACCACCACCATTGTCATCACCACCGTCATCACCATCATCACCACCATCACCACCATCGTCATCACCATCAACACCATCATCACCATCATCAACATCACCACCATTGTCATCACCACCATCATCACCATCACCACCATCACCATCACCACCATCATCATCACCATCACCACCATCACCACCATCACCATCAGCATCATCACCATCATCATCACCACCACCATCACCACCATCGTATCATCATCATTACCATCACTGCATCTCATAAAATCAACTTCATCACTCACTAATGGATACGCAGTTTGCAAACCACGGCTCCAGGGTGCTTATCTAAGAATGGCATTGTAGTGATGATGTCGCCTGTACATCTTTCATTCTACTGGGAAATGTCAAACAGCTTTCAGTACGACTCCATGTACCCATCAGCAGTGCAGAAAATAGCTTGCCATTCTTACCAACATGTGGTGAGGACACAGTGGAATCTCATTGTAGGTTTTATTTGGCATTATTTACTATCGAGCAAGAGTAATTTTTCATTTCTTTATGGGCTGTTCCTCCATCTTTTCTGTGACATTTGTTAAGCCCATCTTTCTTTTGTGTCGTTTGATTTTTTCTTTTTATAATTTGTAGATGTTTTTCATGTATTCAGGATACTAATCCTTTGTAGCAAATGTCTTTTCTGTTTTAAGCTTGTCTTTTCACTTTTATTTTTGTGTCTTTTTATGCACAATTTTTTTCTTGAGGATAGTTGCATGCATCAGTCTTGTCATTTATGGATGAATGTTTTGCATTTTGTTTAAGAAATTCTTCCTCCACTTGTGATCACAAAATATTCTACATAGTCAGTTCAAAATGTTTTTCCTTTTACACTTACATTCCTTTAATGCATTTGGAATTTATTACCATTTTTGAATCACGGTCTGAGAGAAGGATTCAATTCCTTCTTAACTAACATTCTTGCACCATTTGTAAGGCCCATCCTTTCCTGCTGAGCTGTAATTGTCTGTTTCCATATCTGTGAGTGTGTACTTTGGAGCTTTCTACTCTGTTTGGTTAATCTCTTTGTCTAACCCTCTGCTGATACAATGCTGTCTTAATTATTGTATATTTTAATATATCTTGATACCTAGCAAAGCAAATGCCTCACCTGGTTCTTCTAGAATATCTTAACAGTGCTTAGACATTTGTTCTTTCATACAAATCTTGGTTCAATTTGTGAAGTTCCAAAAAACTGTGGTTTGAATTGCACTGAGTCTAGACATCAGTTTAGAGACACTGGACATCTTTATGAAGATTTTGGTCTTCCCATTCATGAACATAGTATTTCTCTCCACTCATGAATGTCTTCTTTGATGAATTTCCAGGGGGAAAGGATCTGATGTATTTATTTAACAGTTTGAATCAATAAATGTATTCAAAAGCTTGAAAAGCTGCTTGTGGGGTGGGTGTGAGGGCGTATTAATTCCTCAGCATGTCCAGAGGAATCCTCTGGCCAAGAGATGCAGATGCTGGCACTGAACTGCCCTGCCTCTGTTCACTGTCTGGGGGGCACAGGGCACCACAGCGTCTGCTACAACCGAGGAGCAGGATGTTAAAAAGGCATTCCTACAAGTGCAAGACCCGTTCTAAGTCCACTATTTGCTGCAATGAGCTTTTAATTTTTTCACATGTGGACACAAATCAAAGATTTCATTTCTCATATTTTTGAAGTGGCCTTCTAGGAAAAGGGATTTTTATTTGCCCCACTGTCTCTTTGCCACTCCAGTGCTTGGTGTGCTGAGTGGAATGATGTCCCCACAAAATTCATGTCCTTCCAGAACCTCGGTATGTGACCTTATTTGGATACAGAGTCTTTGCAGATATAAATAGTTAAGGTGAGGTCACACTGGAGTAGGGGGGACCTAAATTCATGACTGGTGCCCTTATAAGAAGAGAGAAGGAGACACACAGGGAGAAGACACCGCATGAGACAGAGGCAGGCATTGGAGTGATGTCCCCACAAGCCGGCGGACACCAAGATCGCTGGCAACCATCAGAAGCCCAGAGAGAGACAGGCAAGGATTCTCCCTCACGGCCTCAGAAGGAAGCAGCCCTGCCGACACCCTGGCCTCAGACGTCCAACCTCCAGAACTGAGAGACACTAGATTTCTGCGGTTTAAGCCCCCCGGCCTGCAGTACTTTGTCACAGCAGCCACAGGACACTCACATGCCTGATGGCTGTGACACACCTAGATGGACGTGTCTCCCCTGAGCTGACTGGTCGTTATGGCCAGGCCCGGGGTCAGGAGAGCCTGAGACAGGCCTGGGTCTTCAGAGGTCATGTCACGGGAGGGGCCACAGGCATGTGCTCTGGAGAAAACAGGGGACCGGCCGAGGGGCAGGACCCTGGGCTCTCCTGGGGCCGCTTGAGGGGCCACCTCCCCTGCCCCTAGACATGGCCTTGTCACTGGTGTCCCAGCGTGGTTCAGGATCGTTCTGGAAGGCCAGAAGCTCTGGGATGGAGACGAGAGCTCTGCTTCCCAGGGTGTGAGGAGCGAGAAAGGCAGCAGCCAGGGTCCCGGCTTCTCCAGGGGCCTCAGGAAGGGCCCTGCAGTGGGAGCTGCCCCCAGC